TCACACTGTTACCTTTCTGAAATGCAGCTCTGAGGATAATGTCTCTGATGGAAAAAAACTAAAACAATCCCCCTTACATGCACTGCTACTGCTATATCCATTGCCTGAACTGCTGTTCCTCCTATTTCTCCTTGGAACATGGATGAAATCAGTCATTTTTGATTTCTACCTGCCAGGAAAATGATAGTGAACTAACTAAAAGGGCTTCAAGCTCCCCTACCGCCCCAAGCAGCACACACAGGTGCCAGCATTTCAGGTCAATGCTTTGCTGCACTATGCGCAGACCAGTGGGATCTTGCTCTTTAAGGCAGCCACAAAGTGCTCAGCAACCATAACATTCCTGACTCCATGCTGCAGAACTCACTGGTCAGCAGGATGTGACGAAAGGAACTCGGCAACTTCAGTTTTGTGAGTTTGAAAATAAACAAACTGCATCTGGAATTTACTCCCCACCCCTAGTTCCACCCCGTTCGTTACCATTCTGGGTCTTTGCCACAGTGAACTTCACAGTACTCTCGTCTTCATTAGCTCTGCAGGCTATCTAAGTTTTATAATAGCCACAGTGACAAAAACAAAGACACAACCAGCCTGCCTCAGGGAGACAAAGAGTCTTGCATTTTAAACAATTTGACCACACACGGCACATGTTTCCTATAGAGCTACTTCAGAATGTGAATAGAAAGGATAATTTGTCTGAACTGCCTTCACATAAACAGTTATTTAAATCATCTTTCTTCTTTTATTACAATGATTTTTTGTTTAATCTTGAGATTGATTTTACATGAAAACCTGTCACTACTCTTTTAGCAAAAAGCAATAGATGAGGGTTTGTTTTAATAATTATTGTCATTCCCTAGGCTGTCTTAAGCACAGACAATAGTATTGTTCTGATGAAATCTAACCAAAGACTGACTGAGCTGGGTCCTCCTGTCTTGCTTTCTAGGTAGGTGAGGTGCTGCCATTCTGTTCACAAATATGGCACTGGAGCTGAGTATACCTTATTGCCATGGTAAATGCTGTGTCCATGTTTCCACTGAGAAATGTTTCCTTTGGGGTTTATTCTGTAACTTGCTTATGCATCTGCTTGAAGTTTGGTGGAGAAGTTTAAGAGAACACGATTTTAAAGAATAATAATAATAAAACATTTCAGCTTCTTTAAACTACAAGAGTATTAAGAAAACACAAGTTAAGCACTTTAGGAAGCTTAAATTTTTATAACTGTTCTGGGGTATTGGTATAATACTTCAAGAAAGTTCTTCTTTCAGTGTACATTTCTGCAAAATGCATAACAATACCTGCTTAAATTCACATTTACCCAGGAGACCAGAACATCTTTGAATTGCTTGTCTGCTTTTTCATGCAAATTTTTATTTATCCTAAAACATTCTAAGGGATAAATAGTATATAGTTTAAAAATATATATTATACTTTAAATATATGTGCAATGTTTGAGAGAATAAAGATTAAGGATTAAGTTTTCTGGGCCAGTATAAACAGAGAGACTTCATTTGCTCCAGTAACTTTTCTCAGATGTACAGTAGTATCTCTAAGATAGAAATGTGGATTCTTTACTGATTATGGCCTGAGATAGATGTGTTCATTATATCCTTTTTGGGATGCAATTTATGGATACACATTGCATTTAGCCTCAGTATGCTGCATTAAAACTCAATATTCTTAACAGTCCTTAGTCTCAGAAACAACTGGAGCTGTGACCCACAGCTGTCTGTTTCCCAACAGGATTTTACACACAGGGATGTTTCCTGACATGAGGAGATTCCTTGCTTAGAGCCTAGAGATGACCCAGCTACAGCCTCTTTGCGCTGAGAGGCACAGGGGAGATATAATGCAATGAAGTGCTACCTAAAGAGCTGGTTTGGGCATGCAAACCTCCCTCAGCATTTGTTCACTTCACTTCACTCAGTATATAGCTGTTTCCAGAGACACTTGCTGCTGTAGATGTCTGGAATTAGCTGTTCTGCTGCTGGATCTCCTGATTTCACCTCGCACATAAAGATAGAATTTTCTTTCTGCTGAAGAGGTGTTATTTTTTTAAGATATTAAGATGTACATGTTTTATTACTAGATCTAATTTAAACTGGTGAATGCAATCACTTGCCTGCCAACTTGTGACTTGATTTTTTTCTGGGTATCCTTGCCCCTTGACCAAACCTGCATCAGATTGGGGTTTTTCCAACATTTGTAAACCAATTCATCTTACTGTTTCTTTACTTTCTAATACCACATCTGATCTGGGAGACACTGAGATTCTTGCTGGCTTTGCGATCATTTTTAATTCTTTCTTTTTTTTTTTACTGATATCAACTTCTGGAACAATGGCCAGTGTTGCACAGTTCTCCTGGTTGTTAGTCGAGCTGCTTCTCAACTACTAGACATTATTATTAACTACTAGATAAGGGGAGGTTTCTTTGTTTCTGGTTACTGGTTGGTACAGAACAAGATTATAAAGGATTTACTGAACAAGGTGCCTACTGGCTGAGAAATATGCTGGCAGTCCATGATGTTCATGATTGACAGTGATGAACTCAAGAGGTGCCTGTGAAGTTCCCTCTTAAGATCTATGATTATTTTTGTGATTTGGTATCACTTTCTCCAACAGTGAAAATATGAAGAGGTCAGGATCAGCAGGTCAAACATTAGTCTAGCCTTCTTTAATCTGCCTTTGATTTGACATTCCTAGCAACTCAAGTCATCATTTCTTCCTTACATACTTTGTTGAGAGGAATTAGTTTTGGTTTAGCTTTTGCAGCTGATGCTATCCTAACTTCAGAAAAACCGTCTGCTTCCCTGAGGTTTAAATGGGTGGTAAAGGTGTTATTGCACATGCTAATGATAGAGCTTCATCAGTTCTGAGAAGCTTTTTAGCACATCCAATTTCAAACTAAACCCATTTGCCACCAATGTCTCGCAGTGAATGAAAAGATCAAGGACATCTGATTGAACTCTTTATATAGATTATAGGAACATTCATTTGTTCTCTTGCCTATTAGGGCTACATTTCTATGAATTCATTATGAGATTAAATGGTATTTTCATATTTGGAAAGCAGAGCAGATATTATACAAAAGACAGGACATATTTGATACGTGACCATTAGGTTAAGTCAAAGGACATTAACCAAAACAGAGTGGATCTGTATAATTAATCCCCACTATCGGAAGTAGGTTTAAACAAAATTCATGTAAAAGAATTCATAACTGATTGAATGAGAAGTTCTACATTTCCTTCTGCTAGTAATAATACCATTAATTTAAAAAATCTAGATGTCCTCAGCAACTCTGTAACAATCGTTTGGGGAAAATCATATATTCTTTTCGACCATGCAAAAAGCATATTTTAAACACATATTTTATTTTACACTCCAGCACCAATTTCAGGACAATGTACACATATTGCAATATGCCCAATTAAATGAGACATAAATGGTTCACCTTTCATTTTGTATCACTTGAGCGACCAAGAACATGGGAATTTGGGACAGACCTCCAGGGAAACAATAGATTAAAGCAGGAATGAGGAACCCAAAAGATTGTACTCTCCTAACAGCATCTCATTGCTAAGCTGAGTCCTACACATGGTACACAGTCCTCCCATTTGCTGGAATAAAGGACAAACCCAGTACCTTTTCTAAGTAATTCTGTTTCCTGCTGCTGAGTCAAATAACATCTTGCTGTCTGCCAGAAAGGATCTATTAAACTCAGAGCCACTCTTTTCTCTATTCTGCAGTTTAGCTTCTATCCTTATGCCCTATTGCTACATAGGTATAATAATTACACAATTTAACTATCATTAACTATATAATATAATAAATAACTATAATATAATAAAATAGCTATAATAATTAACTATATACAGAGTTTATATAATCCTTAACAGAGTCCATTGTTAGAAGATCTTCATATTTCTCAGCTGCTTCTTTTTTATCCACTGTTCGTAGGTGGATCCCTTTGTAATCCCCTCCAAATTATACCAAACAAACTTCAGAACTTTAAAGTACTCTCTAAGTAGAAATCTAGTAAGTTCACATGCGGCAGACAACTCATACAATTAATAACCTAAGTATTTTTATGGAGATGTAGGATTCTTCACATCCAAATGCACAGGGTTTTTATCCTGTCTGCTAAATGCAGCTCCAGAGGCAAAGGGAATGGAAAATGGATATCAAACTAGCTGGAAAGCCACACAGAACAGTAAGCACCTTGGACAATGCATGTAAAGTAGCTCAGATACTTACTTATTTGTTTGCAACGGTCTCCCAAGCAGCTTCTCACTAAGGCAATATTTTAAGCGCACTGCAACCTTTGGAACCAAAGAGGTTTCTTTTTAATAGTAACAATAACCAACAGCAATAAACATCACAGGTCAGCATCCTAACTCCCATATGACCAACACAAAATACAACACTGGAAGCTGACTTTGGGAACATTTCAGCTGTTGGAAGTCAGAATATTTCTATATCCTCCAAGAGAGTTGCACTGATTTTTATCACCTAAGAATCTGACCGTTGTAACACAGTATACACAAAGGAAACCTAACATTATATCAGATAACTGGTTAACCAGCCCTTTGCTTTTCTGTCTCCTGTCTCCTCAATTGCTGCAAGCAATTAAGTGCCCACCACTTGTTTGAACAACCAAACCAAAATAATTACAAATGCATGTTGCACTACAACAATTGCATATTAACAAAGGCTTGGGGCCAATTAATCATTACACCATCAATATCTAATTTGCATAAAACTATCCTCTTTAAAGACTCCATGTTTGGGGTGACAGGGTTACCTCATTGATTATGCAAATTCCCCATCAAGCTTTGCAGAAGCAGTCAAAAGAAATAAAAAGGATGTTGCAGCCAACATCCTACAGCCATGAGGCAAGACAAAATTGGGGGAAGAAAGCAAGCAAGCAAGCAAGAAAACTGAAAGGAAGCAAGAAAGAGAAAAGCAACATAGACTTCAGTGTTAAAAGGCCGCAGCACAGCTCAGGCTTAGAAGAATAAGGCTGTAAAGAAACCAAATCCAGAGTAGCTCAATGAAGGCAGCAGTGGTGGATTGACTTCTTTACAGCCATGCCATGTCATAAACCCTAGTCTCAAAATCGTTTTCTATTTTACCTAGAGCTTCCTTAAAGGCGCATCCTTAAAGTAGATATATGTTATATAAGACAAATATACATGTCATATAAGACAAACCAAAGTCCTACAGATGAACCCACCAATAATAAAATGATGCATTCCCCCTATGATTTGGGACATTCATTCGCATGAAGATTTTCTCTGGAAAAGCACTATCTTCTTAAATTAGCAATTTTCTCCTTGAATCTGATGAAGAATTCTCACACTGACTGTGGGTGACAATTGTAATTATAATGTTTTCCACTTGCACAACTAGGCTGTGAAATGAGCAGGCCATGAGCTCTAACCACTTTTGCCTGGCTCTGCAGCAAAAGCCAAGGGATCTGTTGTGCTGCAACATACAACCCAGATTCCCCAAAGTCATGGCCATGGCACAGCTCGGTGTCACCAGTTAGCTGCTGGGACAAGGCAAAAGGAGCAAAGGACTCTCTGTATCTGGACTCCATTTTCGGGGTGATACAAGGCAAGCCAGATTTGCTTTTTTATCCAGACCCGTGCAAAGTGGGAAGTACTGTATGGAATTCTTTTAGGAATCTTTTTTCTTTCTGAGACTGGGAACTGGAATAAGCAGGCCTCCTACAGGATAATTAAGCCCCTTTCTTATGGTCAGAGAAAGGCACAGCAGGCAGATTTATCTTTCCTCAGAGTTAGAGAACAAGCCTCTAACATGGATACAAAAAAAAACCCTCATCTCTGAAAGGCAGGATTCACTGCAGTCACATGCTTTTAGTGCTGCAGTATGGTAGACAGCAAGACATAAACCAATTTGACCAGGTTTCACTCTATCCAAAGTACATATACCTACAGAAGAGGCCAAATACTTGGAAATTCAAAATAGCAAGCGTCCAAGAAACAAGGCCACTGAGTAGGGAAAGCAGAAGACTTCCCACAGCAAGTACTGTAAAAAAAGCACCAGTGTAGCACACAGTATACCTGCAACGTACTTCAAGCTCTGTTTTCCATGGAGGGCTTTTCAACACCAAAATGGGGGACAAGGTGAAGAGAAGGGAGTTTAAAGTGCAAGCTGCACTCTCTGCTCCAAAAAGCACACTGTGCTGATTCAAAAAAAACATTTTCAAAAATGCCTGTGGGTAAATTTGAGCTGCCCACAGCTCCCCAGGGGCAGTCGAACTTGCTGTCGAGCCATTTATGTGGATTTCAGTCAAATTCTAATTTTAGTGTTCATTAAACATGGGTAATTCCCAAGCCAATCCCTGCATCACCTAGTATACATAATACCTCTACAATATAGGTCATCCTAGCTTAGAAAACACATACAGACATCAAAGTGCAACCATTTCATTGTAAGTATTAACTTTATAAATAATTATGAACTTCTTAATTCTTTACAAGATGCTGTATAATCACAAATATTTAAAAAACATCACAATAGGAAGATGTGTGGGCGGTTATGGTACATAGGTATACATGTATACAACCCACCCACACATGTGTATTAAAGCAAGCAGAGAGGTCTAAATATACATGTGTCTGCCTACCTGCGGCAGAAGGAAGGATGCTTCCCTGAAATGTAGGCTGCTGAGAAGAAAGACTGGTTTCTGTTTCAACCAAAAAACAGCCTCAAATCTACTGGTCTGATAGGTGTTGCTCTCTCTGTCCTGATCGATGTTGTTCTCTCTGTTCTCTACACAGCTTTTCTGTGCAGGGAGGTCCAACCAGGCAGTATGCTGGTTTCAGGTTCCTTTGAGATGCTACGGTTGCAGTAGGGTGCAGTAGCAAGGTTTTGAGTATCCTGCATCAAAGTTCGGTGCTCGTGGATCCCTGGCAGTGTTCAAGGCCAGGTTGGATGGTACTTGGAGCAACCTGGCCTAGTGGAAGGTGTCCCTGCCTGTGGCAGAGGGTTCGAACTGGATGAGCGATAACGTTCCTTCCTGTGACTCTCCACAGAAGTGTATGAGGTTCAATCATATTCTTCCTTTCCCATTCCCCTTACCATCTCCAGCCCTGTGACACTGAGGCTGCAGGACAGATGCTCCACTCTGTGTTTTTAGCAAAGTGTAACACTTCTTTTGTTTGTCACAAAAGAAGCACATGTTTATACCTACCTTTTGTGTGCGGCACTGGGGCTTGAGAGAGACTTACACTTTCAGAAGCCACCTGGAACTTGAGTGAACAGGTTGAGCCTGATTACTGGAGAGGGGATCATTCTATGGCTCTACGAAAACAAAGCAGAAAGGAGATAGCTCAGCATGAGCTGATCTAGATTATGCCAGAACTCATAAAATAATTAAAACTGGATGATTATTGTTGAACCAGACAACTCTGACACACAAAGCAAGAAAGAAGTAACACCAGAAGTAAAGACTGTACTGAAATTAACCCTACAAGAGGATACATTTCCCAAAGGACACAGACACAGCATTTAGTATCAAACACTGCTATGTTATCAGAAGCACGAACACCTCCAGTGAACCTCAGAGATCTCCAAAGATGCTGTCTTGAAGCCAGACAGGGCCTGGATTGGGAACAAAAGGATCTCAGAGCAATAACGCAATTGAGCCCATTTTTTGACAGCTTCAAAGATGGCCCAAAGAGCACCCACAGGGCTCAGAAGCCCTGCCCTCAGCTGCTGCTCTGTCCCACCAGAGAAGGTGGTTGTAGAGTCCAGCCTGGCTGTGCACACATTCAGAGTCACTCTGCACTGAGCGGCTGGTGCACACATATGACCCAGGTGACTGCTTCGGATGGCCCCAAAGAGAAGACCCCTCTGAAATAAGTCACCGCAAGAATCATTTATTGTTTCCTTTGAACAACATCTGTTACTAATCTAATAGCAGCATTTTAAATATTCACCCTTGCACAGCATTAACGTGAGAAAGTGGATTAAATGTAGTTTGACTGCTTGTGTTTTAACAGCTCCATAGCTAATGTTGTTTATGGGCTGATGGCTTTTTATTAATTTATATTGATTTTAAGTGCTCAGAAAAGCAAATCCTGATAGAAAGAGCTCGAGCCAGGCAAAGTACTGTTCAGCAGTAGGCACACATCCCCACACAGACCTGCCAGGGGAACTCATTTGCAGCCAGCAACATGCCTGCTACTCTGTACCAGGTCCCCTCACGTGAGCCTGTTTCCCAAGCCAAAGCATACTTCACTTTTCCACAAGGTGAGCCAGCAGTATCCTAGATCAGGTTGGGGTTACCCTGCTTCTCTTAGTCCTGGTCTAACCTAAGAGTGCTTTTAATGTTGCTTGCAAGAACTCAACCTAGAAACACACAGGTCTATATTTCAGAACAAAAAAACAATGGCTATTGCAAGAAAATGGCAGAAAAATAGTAAATTCCTGATCAAGGAGCTGCCCATTCCATTGATAACACTTCTGCACTGAGCAGGCAATGAACAAGTAGCAATTGACACGGAAACCCTAGAGTTGCACAGTTCATGGGCAACTGCTTTTCTATCACCTAGAAGCAAACTCAGACCTTCATTCCATCTTCTCCCTCCAGTGCTTTATAGTTTATACAATTATACCACCTCACCATTCCCAGGCAATTCAGGGTAAATGAGGCTAATCACTGCTGCTCAGTACAGATGACTCTTATCCCTTCTCCAATCTTACTTAGGAAATTGCAGCGGGATTGATTATTTGGGATGTGATTTCAACCCCTCACACTCCTTGCTAGGTCACATGTTGTGGTTTATTTATATCTACCTCAGTCATCCTAAGGACAAGTGGAAATTTGTCAGTCACCATTCTAGGGCATTCAGACAGAGTAAGAGTTGAGCCAAATGGAAAGGACATCTTTAGATTTCTTTCTGTCCCGGCCCTTCACTTGCCCTGGATCTGACTGCTTTTGAGAAGTTATTGGCTAAACCAACCTTGCCACTTACAGTAGTAGAAGGAATGTAAACAGAAAGTTGTGATTGATACAGGGAGCATCACTAATTAGCTCTGAAGGACACAGTTAGGAAAGAAGGAGTCTGGGTAAAATGGAGAGAAAGGAAAAAGCAGCTATTTATGAATGCTAAGTGCGCATAAATAAAACAGAAAACAAATAAGGGTGCAAAAAAGGAGGAGAATTTAAAACTTTAGATAAAAATTAGAAATTAAGAATTGTAGAAAACTGATAAGAGAGGAAAAAGGATATAAGGGTCAGCAGAATTAACAGCAATAAGAAGAATTTCTTTTTAGTATGTTAAAAACATACGAAACCCTAAGAATGAAATGGAAAGATGCCAAGAAAGGCAGATATGTTCACCCACAGTAAGAAGCTTTGTTCAACACTGCAAGAGGCACAAACATTGGCAAATTGACAAATATTTACAAAATATCACTTGCAAAGTGATGAAAAAATGCGTAAGTTCGGCATAGCTGTATGTGTTGAAATGTCACCTTCCACATGAGAAGAGGCAGGCTGATTTTAAGCAGTTCTCAAATATGGTATGCAGTGATCTTTTCAGGCTCTAAAGCCTTCACAGAAACACCACTTTATTAATCTGTATGAAACTTACCACCATCCAAACCAAGTGCTAATGTGAATGCTGTCACAGCTATAAAATAAATTTGAGCCAATGTTAACAGAACACATGAAAAATAAATCTATTAGGAAATCTAGAGTATCTTTCTGCCCCAGTTCTGTGATTAAATACAGTTCATTTTGTCACTTGGTTTTCCAGTTTGTAAAAGGAGGAAAATAAACATCCCTATATAGCAAGTTTCTAAAGTTAAGGAATGATTTGAGATGCTCTAGGATTGGCAGTTTAAGAGTATTATACACGATGCTATGCATTATCTAAACCACCTTTCTCAGCGAAGAAAGATCTACCCATCACATATAAGCACCACACATGTTTCACAGCACTTCAAGGACAGAAGAAGAATAGGGGGAAAAGATCTACTGAGGCCATTTAGATAGTCCAGCAAAAATCAAGACAGAGTATACCCTGCAGCTCCTGACTGTCAGTGGGATCAGGGAACCTCCATCCCTTTGAAAAGCTCAGCTTAAATACTTCTTGGTTTTGTCCCATTAAATCCTGCACAGAAATTAATAAATACCTCACTTCAGTTCCTATCATCTCTGCTTCCCTCTCTTGCTGGCAGACCAATACTGAATTCATTAAATTTCATTAAAATATACATCTGGTTCCTGCTTTTACAAGGCTATGAAATCTATGGGCCTTTGCAGAGCAAAATTGGCTGCTCCATTTAATACGGCCTTTCTGGCATAGGGACACTAGCTGCAAGTTAAAGATCCCCCTTACTCAGCTGACAGTCGGGGGTTTGTGTGGTACAAGAACTAGTTCAGTTGAAGATCATGGAAGATTAAGGTTGGCTTAATGATGGCGAGGTTTGCTGCTCTGGCATATGCAACACTAGAAAACTACAATTCCCATAAGACTCCCTGGCAGTCAGGGTAGAAACAGATTACATGTCAATGGGACCCAAAATGTAATTTGGTTCTAAATACCACAAACTCATGAAGTCCAAGAGGAAACAAAATACTTCATTTGCTTTCCCCAATGGAGGATTAATATTTTTGTGACAATAATGAAATTTCCTCTCAGAAAAATTCCATAAATCATGTTTTCTATTAAAAAAAAAAAAAAAAAGAAAAATTTGTGGTAGAAAGTTCCAGCAGTAATTGGAGGTCTCGTGGGATTCTCCATGCATTTGCCTAGTCTGGTTTCACTCATAAACGCATGGAACTGAAATGAACTGCATTAACACTGACAATTGTTCCTTGTGGCAGATCCAAAATACATCATTTTGACTTGGGACAGATCCTGCTAGGATAGGTTCACAAGGACTTGGCATTCCATCTACAGGCTACAAGGAAGTGATGTGCTTCTCCCTTTCTTTCTCTGAAACCCAGCAGCTGGAGCTCTCACCTCGGGTGTGGAAGATTCAGGTTTAATTCCCACCCCTGTGGAAGTCACAGTAAAAACTCACCTGAGAAGGCACTGTTAACTGTTGGGCACCCACAGGCTACAGGCTGTCACAATCTCCTTGTTAATACTGACAAAATAACTCCATTTAGTAGAAACAACAAGTGTATTGTGCATAAATCTGCACTGCACTTTTGCAAGGCACATATACAGATCCCACTGTAAAGTGAAGGTGAAATGCAGTAAAATCTTACTCTACTTCGTTATTGTAATGCAAAGGAAACTTAGAAAATTATTCTTACCCTGAAAATGCAGAGATTACTACCACCTTTTCAAAATATGCACTTAACCTTATTGGCAAAGACTAAAATATCCCCAACCAGCACAACCCCACTGTACACACAGACACGCTGCCACCTAAATCCCTCTAACTTCTCCTTGGAGTCAGAAAAAGTCATGCCTTTGCCATCCCCATTCAGAAGTTTCCGTACCTTAACAGTGGCTATTTTCCACCTCCTGTGACCTTGAGAAGTGCTGTTCCCGCCAGGCATGCCAATAGTTGTAAAACAGGGAGTGCAGTAGGAAATGGATATGGATAGAGTGAAAGTGATTCTGTTGTCCTTTCACACACCCTCCGTGAGATGTTGAATGTGTTTGAATGTGATCCATCAAGGCATTGATCCCTTGGGGAAGTGGAGATGTGTAAGGAAACTTCAAGTGCTTTCTAACCAGATCTACCTACAGGAGGATGTACTGAGCAGTATAGTAAGAAGATACATATATTATCTATAGTCCCATGTCATGGGACAAGTCACGGCAGAGGTGAGGGGAAATCAGATGTGTTCTGGGGCTCTGGAGGTTATACATTCACTCAAAGCAATTTCTCCTTGAAAAGTAACGAGCAAGCTGCTCTCTGTTGTGATCTCTTCAGCTACCTTGTGTTAAACTCAGCTGCAGGAAAAAGGGAATGCAAGACAGAACAATACTTTTTAACAGAACATTTTACAGGAAACACTGAGGAGATGGTATTCTATCTTAGAGCTGCCAAACTCCACAATTAAAAGAAAAATGCACACTTAACTATAAGAATTTTCTGCTTATGTTTAAGATCCAAAGAATTAAATCAAAATCCTTAAAAGCCATTGCTAAATGAAGGAAACACATGAGCTGGCCCTAGCAGTGAAGTCTGTCACCAACACAGGCTTTATCCAGCTTAAGCCACTTCATTCTTTGATCAGAAAGAGTGGCTTGAGTGGGTTTATTTTAGAAGGCTGGCAAGTGTCTCAGCTAGGACAGCTGCGTGCTCAGAGCTCATCTCTAGGAGTAATC